ACAGCAAGTTCCAGGTGTTCTCACAGCTCTTTCTGTCAGGTGGGGCCAGGGTTATGCTCTGCAATAAATGGGCTATGACTCAGCTCTCTGGCCTGGGTGGAACTGAGTGGGCCCACTGTAGGCAACTCCCAAATTTTCCAAAACAGAATTTCTGGTGTGGGGTTTGTGGGGGTGAGGGCCATGCTCTGAGCAGGCAGGGCAGGCTCAGTTCTCCTGCCTGCGTGTGTACAGCCCAGGCCCCAGAGCCAGCCCAGCCTATTTGAGGCCCTGGATCAGGCAGACCAGCGTCCTGCCGAATTCTCTGGTCACTCTACCCAACCCCACTCGTGGGGGCTATGCTTAGGCTCTGCGGGTGAGAACTCAGTTTGCCAAGGCTCAAGGGCTGGTTGTTGAAGCCTCTCCCCACTTCATCGTGATCAGATTCCCAGTGGTCGAGCCTCACAGACTCCCATGATTCCTGTGGAGTGGCACTAGAGTTGGGGTTCCCTGTGCTGGGGGGCTAGATGTCACCCCAGGCTCTCTCTCCCTACTGGAGGAGCTGGAGGCTCGGGGAAGACCTCTTGGCGTGGTGCTGAGCTGCTCTGGGGCAGCGTGGTCAGGGTGTGGCTGCCCCTCCTACCCTTCTGTGGCAGTCTGTCTCGTCTCTCTGGTGGTGGGGAGTGGGGTGCTTCAGCCCCACCTCCCTGTTCCAGGATTCTCCCAGTGGTGTCTTGTCCACTGTAGTTGTTAGCTGTTCTTGTTAAGGGGAGTGAAGTCAGTAGACCTATGTCACCTTCCTGGTGATGACACTCCTATCACATACTTTAGTGACAGAGTCCTCAGTGTTTCCTTCTTGGTTTATTCTACACATGTGACTGGGCTGAAACTGATACTAGGAATAGGGGTATACTTTGCCCTGTAGGAGAAAATGAGTGGGGCAGCTGATTGGTGGAACACACTCACGCGAGGATGAGGAAGTGGGAACTGGGTGGAGAGCAACCTTCTGGGCTTGAGACCTGGAGCTCTAGGTGGATGGTGACTCCACCATCAGCTATGCAGGAGCTTTTCTCAGGCCGTAACTCCATCCCTCATCCCCTTCAGGGCCCTTCTCCCCTTACCAGTCCCCTCCCCACCTCATTGTACTCCTTGACGGGAAGGTTCCCATTTGTTTCAGGTTATAGTTTTTAAAGAGGTGAAGTTACAGGATGGAACATATTTGGTAGACTAAGAATGTGCCACAGGTGGCCAGTTTGGGAAATGACTCTTGAGCACATAGGACCACTTTGCTCAGCTCTGCCCTGGGTAGAGATGTTGGTATTGAGCAGACCCTTCCAGCTCTTCCACCTCCATCACCCACTGTATTTCATTCTCCTCCAGGACAGATCTTTAAGCTCTAGCCAGGAAGACACTGTGTCTGAGTAGCACTGAGCTCAGTGAAGGGCCCGTCTCTGGATCTTCAGTCTGTGATAACCCTGCATGGGCGCTGTGGTCACACACTGTCCCTTGTGGGGAGAGTGTGTTGTGTTTGGACATCTACTCTTTGCTTTGGAGTTTCTCTTTACTTGGCAGATATGCCAATCAAGGCCGACTCCTGGAAGCAGGGCCATGGACTACTTCTCTGTACTTCCCGCCCTGGCCTGAGTACCTCACATGGGGTAGCTGCTTAATACCTGTCTTTTGAACAAGTGGACTGATGAGTGGATTGTGCTCTATCTTTGTGGTAGCTGTGACAAGTTGGGACACATCATGTGGATTCAGGTGCATTTCCTGGATGCCTGGAGCCACACAGCATCTGGGCAGCAGCACGGGCTGCCTGCCTTCAGGGCTGTTCCTAGGAGTCAGTTGTGCTGTGCTGCTTGTGGGCTGGCGGGCCCCCTCCCGCCCCAGGCCTAGCCTGGCCTGGAGGAGAGAGGGTGGCTGCAGCTGAGAGGGTGAAAGGGTGCTGACCGCTTCTCAGGAGTGCCTTGGCTTTCAGTGTCTTTACTCACAGCTTTCTGTTGAATTGTACTCGGTTCAGTGGTCTGATCTCTTGAATATTAAACATCTAGGGATAGTCCCTAGATTGAAAAATGTTCCTGAGAGGGTTCAAAATTTAGCTTAGGAAAAGTTGACAGTACTACTCAAGGAGTTTGACCTAATTACAGAAATGTCCTTCCAGTCAGGACCGAGTAGCTGATGAGCTCTGTGGCAACAAGGCAGAACCTGTGTGTTTGGGACGCACAAGCAGATGAGTGTTCCTCGTCCCCATCTGTGCCCCAGGCCTCCCACAGTGGCTCGACTTCCACCACCAGATTCCACCATCCTCATCCCAGACTGTAATCAGACTTCTCTCCACAAATATCTCCTGAGTTGTCCGCTTAACAAGGAATGCTTCTCCCAGCCCTAGCTGCATTCATCCGTCCACCCGGTGGTTCTGAACACTGACTGTATGGACGGCACTGTGTTGAGGCACTGGGGATACAGAGATGAATGAGACATAGTCACTGCCTTCACGGCTCACATTCTAGCAACATGTAAACAGCACACAGTAAATAGTGGATGTCATGATATGTCAGACAGTGAACTATGGGAACACAGAAGCAGTAGAGAGATGAGGGAGAGGAAGGAGAGACTGATTCCGAAGACAATAAATTCATGTCACAGAGCTTAAGTTATAGTGACCCTCTCTTAGGACTACCCCCATCTAAAGCAGTGAGTTTTAATCTTTGTGCTTTTAGTAGCAAAACTGTGTCTCTAAATAAAATTCTACTTGGATCACCAGTAATCAAAACAAACAGAAGCAGATAAGCTGGGGGTGGGGTGAAGTGGTCTAGAGAGCTCTGTGCTTGGCCTCATCCAGGCTCCTGAGCCCTGGCCCTGCTCCTCCTGAGGTGCTCAGAGACATACTGGCTCTGGTGCTGCCCTGAGGACACACCTGTGCCTTGGAAGGCTTGTTACAGGCATATCTCCAGGTGATTTTTGTCATTCCCACCTAGGACCTAAGCTGGAAAGCTAGGCTTTTCTTCTGGGTAAGAGGCACATAAGTATAATACTTAAAGATAGGAAGGGGTGGATTCGAATGAGGAATCAGTTTCCTTTTCTGAGAATGGAGCTAGTTGTTACCCAAGGCGTAGGGCAGCCTGAGGGAGGGCCTGCCTCTGTACATTTTCTTACAGTGCACCTTGTTAGCGCACAGCCACTGTTAAGGTTGGCCTTACTGAGTACTTACAACATGATGGACCCTCATCACAAGTGTTTTGTAAATATTGGCTCAGTTAATCCTTCTAACAGCCCTCTGCACTTGGTACTATTCTTGCATCACTTTTGCCAGTGAGGAAATGAAAACATGTAGAGGCTACACAGGTGAAGGGTGCTGGTGCTGGCATCCCCATGGAGGCACGTGGCTCCAGAGGGCACCTAGGCATGTTCTCCACCTTGCACACCAGCTTCCAGACTGAGGGGCCACCTCACATCTCAGAGCTGGGGATTTTATTTGGGGCTTTAACTATAATTGATAAGTTGCAGATCACAGGCCATGTCTTTTATGTTTATGTATGTAATGTACATATTTATATATTTTTTATTCATAAAAACATCCTTCAGATGTGGGCAGGCAGTTGGTGCCAGGTGGCTTTGCTGCCAGTAGAGAAAGTTTCAGAGAAACGGTGCCTTCCCCCTAAAGCAGCTCCCACCTCGTGCCGTTGCTCTGAGCTGGTCCCCAGCATGTAGCTCTTGGCCAGTGAGTTCTGGTTCAGGGACGATGGAATTGGGGCTGCAGGCTCAAAAGGGGCATTTATTGGTGTTCATCCTTTCTTCCCTGAGGCTCAGAGCTTGTCTTCCCATTATTGCCTTGGATGTGTCCTTTTTCACAAAGAGGATGCTTTCTAGCTATGAGACTGATGCTGAAGGCCACCCACTCTTCGGCACCTGATCCCAGTTCATGTAGACCAATGGTTTTAACAATGTTAACCTTTTTAAAAACAGAATCTCTGCCTCAACGTTAAACTGCATGAGCTCCAGCAAGTGCATCAACTTTGGCCCTTGGACTTTGGTACCCTTGACTGTTTCTCTGATCTCTCACTTTCACTGAAAATTTTGGTTTTGGTCACAAATATGAATTGGAGGTGTAGGGTGGGAGGAGGCAGACACTGGAAGAAGAATTTTGGATTATCTGGGGATTTTCATTGACTGTGCTGTCTCTGTCCCTCATTATCGGGGATGAATAAGGTTGGTTTTATAAAGGATTAGCATGCCTGTGCCATTTTGCAGGTAGAAGTTTAGGACTTTTTCTTCGAATCAAACACTAAGCAAGAAAAACAAATCTAACATAAAACCTCAAAGCAAAAAAGAAAATCCAACAGAAAATGCCATTCTGTTCAGACTTATGGCCCATAGGAAAAATATCAAAAATATTCTTTCAAAGGGCTGAGCAGTAGGCCTCCCATTTAAGCTTTGCAACTGTTATAGGATGTCTCTCTCACATGTCACTTTGAAATTTTACCCTTCTCATCCTGAGTGATCAAACCCCTTCTCTTGCTTTCTTTCATTTTGCAGTCCTGAATAGACCCGCCATTGCTCTCCAGCAGGGTATGGTTTTAGTGTCATCTCATTTTGGAAAAGCATTGATGCCAACCAGCAGTATTCTTGGATCTGCCTTTCTTTTTCGTCCCCTTTCTTCTGAGCCTAAAGAGATCACATTCAGGAAGGCAGTGGGGTTTTCTAGGTCAGGGCAGATTCTGGATGCTTTCCACGGGTCTCTTGGTGGTGAAGGGATTGCTTTCTTCTGCCGCCCCAGATTTGCCACGGCCACCAGTAAGGGAATGGTTTTCCAGATGTCTCTTGCTAAAATACACTCAGAAGAACTCCCCCTACCCCACTCCACTTTGTTTCCAAAGTCAATTTATTAAATATTAAGTCATAAAGCCAGTGATTGTAATTTTAATGAAAAATATCCTGTATCACTCAAGACAGAAAAGAACAAAAATACCCCTTAGAAACACTGCTTTGAAAAATAGTTAACATTAACTTTACACACAACGGAATCCTTTCTTAAGCTTTATTTAAGAAATCGAGTACTATATAGTTCAATATATATAAGACACATCCAGTATTGTGTTCCTGATAGCAAGTGCATAGATTTTGTTAAGATATCATTTTCACTCGATATAAACGTTTCATGGTCACATGAAGATAATATTCCCAGTGATTTTGCCCAAGCATGAGAGGAGAAAACAGAACACAGCAGAAATAGTGAACTACAACAGAGATGAAAAACAAAAACAGCGAATTAGCAGAACAGTCGATTCCTGATAAGTGAATAAGCTGATTGTTTGGTCACAATGTTTTTATTCACTTATCAGGAATGATTCACAGTACATTAATGTTCACTGTGTTTCCTAGCCTGCCAGCTCAGAGTGCCCGCCCGAGACTGCTCAGAACTGCTGTGGGCTGTGCAGATGTGTGACTTCTGTCAGCAAAGTCAACGTTGACAGGCCTGTCATTTCCCAGTGCGGTCTGTGCATGGCAGGCAAAGATGCCTTGCTGACACTGCAGTGGTGTTTTACAGAATCAAGAGGGTAAGTGTGAATTTAAGCAGGGACCAACTTTACATCACGTGCTTAAGGGAGCTAGCATTTTTGTCCCCTTCTTTGGAGAGTTATTGTTTTCGTTGTTTTTCCAAAACAAAAAAAATTCTGGTTTGTCTTTCCCTTCTTTTACTTAGCTTGAGTATTTTGTCCTGTGCCAGATGGTGGATGTAGATACTTGTATGACTTAAATATTGAAAAAGTAAACACTCACATCTTGGAAAGAGTTGATCACCCTCTTTACACCCTTCTCCCCTCCCTCACACCCTCCACCCCTGCAAAAGTATTTACGAGAAAGAAAGGAAATCACACCCTTAGCACTCTTTTCCCCACTAATGTAAGCAGTGGGTTTTCAGAGGCAAACTGATGAAGGCTCTGATGAGGTTTAAAGCAGAAGTATTGGTAGGAAGTCAGCTCCCATCTGTGCAGGTCTGGAGCTAGTAGAGGCTACTTCGCTGAGGTGTTCGGCCTATGTGGGAAACGGCCTCCGCCTCACCCAGCCCCTCTGTGCTGTGCCGCCAACTAGAAAAGAGAGTCTAGGGCTCAGAGGGGCTGCCGAAACCGGAGGGCGAGGGGCCTGAGCACCTGCGGGGAGGATCTTGTTGGCAGCCAGGGGATGGCTGCCAGTGCCGGGTGGCCTGAGTCAGAGCGAGCTTGTGCGTCTGAAGAGTTGGAGGGAGAGAATGAGACAGGGAGCAGACGTCAGTGGAATCTCGTAAGAGCACTTGGAGAGCGATCAGATTCCTGAGCAGAAGAGATGGGCAGAAAGGGAGGAGGGCCTGTGGCTTCAGCTTTCGAGGGCGTACAAGGCTTTCTACAAAGTATACGCTTTCAGGAGGGAGCGTGTGGATGTATATGGCATTCTTGGTTTTCATGTGGAAATGGATGATGTATTATGAAGACTTGGGCATGAGAAGCTTTACCTTTCCCCCTCCTACCTGACCGGACTGAGTAGAGCTTCCATTTGAGCCCTTACAAGTATTTTCTCCCATTAGTTTTAATAATTAAAGCTGCTCTTTGATTCAGTTAGCTCTTTAAAATAATTTACTTTTCTACACATATCTATTGATTGATGGCAATGCATGGATTTAACGCCTTTCATATCTATTCACCAGGTAAGTAAAGTTTATTTTTCTTCCCTTAAGGAGCTCACCTTTTTCAAAAAATGTGACTGGCTTCTGAGAAGAGTTTGATGGTAATGATAGGCCTTTGGACTCATGGGTAGATAGAGGAAACCCCAGCTCTGCTGCCTCTCTCCTGGCGTTTCTTAAGGTTATGCAGCAAAGTGGCAGCTGTTTTTATTGGGTGTTAAGAACTGCATACACATATCAAGAGAAGAGGAGAGGTGGGCAGAGAGCAGAGGAGAAGAGAGAAAGTGCAGTGTACCAGTGTGGTCAAAAGACTGGACAAGGTCTTGGCAAATCTGACTCTGTAGGCAGTTATGTAGGTGGACCATAGATATAAGTCTTGGAAGCAGTGGTTAAAATAGGCTGTTGTACATAAATCCGAGGTGGCTGGTGTGTAGTTCCCCCTTCCCCAAATCAGATATTCACTTAGGTGGAATCGACTGTATCTTTTTACACAACATATAGAAAAAAACAGATACGTGAAACAGTGAGGTGTGTAGATGTATCACCAACATACAATGACTACCAACAATACAACACTCAGAGAGAGAAACAAGTATTAGGAAAATGGTTTAATATTGGAGACAGAAGCAAAAAACTGCATCACACAATAACATACGTTACAAAAATAAGTTTGACTGTTTCAACTACACGGTTATGTTCACAATGAGGACAGAAGAATCAGAAAAAACTTTGATCTAAACAGCAAAAAAGCAAACCCCTAAAGTTTTAACTAATACATTTATCCACTTAAAGTGACTGAGTACTTCTAAATCTAATTACCTTATTGTGTAACTGCACAATACAGAATAAAAAGTGAAACTTACCGCTGTATTTTAAGACAAAATTCTAATGCTAGATATAAGCAAAGGGAAAAAAGAAATTAAGCCAAAGTTTTTAATTCTCAAAAGAAAAGCAACTTTCTTTCTATCAACCAGAAATCAAACTTGAAATCAGTCATTGTCAGGGGGCCCACTAGAGTAAGCCACAAAAATTTCCATTTTTTTTAATCTCCAGTATAAAAAGTTCCACTGGTACAAAATGCAGAAGTACAATCAGTTGTAGAAATAGGAAAGCCTGCGTTATTATTTTTTTTTTTTTGGCTCAAATTCCATCAAACAACACAATCCAAATGCATCAATAAAACAAACAATACTCAAATGGTCTTACAGTTTTCCACTAGGTTGCATTAACTTTGGCTTTTCTCAGACAATATTTAAAAACTATTTTGTAATTCTAAACAAAATGATATTATTAATCTACAAACAACAATTCTCACAGCACAAAAAAACACATACATTTTTTTTTTGTATGACATTATTCAAAAAGGTAATGAAACTACAGGTTTTTTTAAAATTTTATTTCTTAATTAGCACTTAAGATAATTAAAAACAAACAGTAAAATGAATCCAGAGTAGCACAAGCCAAAGAACTATAACCCCTATGGTGAAAGAAAGATGAACTTGTTACGCCTTTGAGGACTGCCATTAGATTGTAATTCTCTAATTCAGTTTAAAAATGACTATTCTCTACACTTGATTTTTAAAAAAGCAGTTTCCCTGTGTGTGTTCTTCTGGCACAGGCCCTTCGCACCCTTGCAGCTTTTTTCTTTTGCTATTAAAAGAGAAAGTGAAGAAAAGGACAACTTGTCTTTGAGGAGGGTTATCTTTTTAGCAATGAAACATGCCCCCCCAAAAAAAAAAAGACCTTCCCCCTAACTGTACTGTCTTGGTTGCCTGTAGAATAAACACTTAGCTCTAAGTGCCCGCCCTGAGCCGCTTGTCAAGTGCACTCAGCTCCTCTGGGGGAGGGGGAGGAGGGGGGCACTGGAGCACTTCTGGCTTCAGCAAAGAAGTGGGAGAAGATGGCTTAAGGGTTATGTATAACTGATGAGAGATTCTGAATGAAACAGTCTAGGAAATTCAGATGGTGTTGCCTTGTGTTCTTACACGTGTATCTGTGTTACCACTGTATCGTATATACGAGAGAGACATGTGCGATAACCTTTATTACTCAGCTGCTTGCTGCAGGAAGTACAAAATAGCCCTCGAAGGATGAAGGAAGGCCCCAGCAGTAGTAAACACGTGTGAGGATAATACAGGTCATTTCATTGTAAGTGCATGTGCTGTAAGAAGGAAACTTTTTTTTTTTTTGCATCATTAGAGGCTAGTCCTTTCCCTCCCAGGGCTATCACATCCACACACACAATAAACCAAACAGGGTGGTCAGTGGGAAATGGAGGGAGGAGGTGGAGCCAGCAGTTTCTGAACTCCATTACGAAACAAAGAAGCTTCCAGAAAAGGTAGGAGTTTAAGTGGGTTGCAGGGATGACTTGGGGTTTGTCAGGACAGCAAGAGACCTGTTCACATAAAGTCAAAGAAATATGGCACTTTAGAAAATGGCAGCAGGAACTGGTGCTGGGTATTTGGTCAGTAACTGTGATGAAGAACTGAGTTTGCCTTGAATGGCCAGTCCCCTTTAGATGCATTCAGTTCAGAAGAAACAGAAAGGCAGGGAAAGGATAGTCAATGTCTAACTCCAGACACGTTGCTTATTCAGAGGTATCCACTGGGGTTGGAAAATCCCCAGCACAATGGCTGATAAGAAACATTACCTTGGGAATAAGTAAGAAACGAAAGCAAAATCCCTCCAAAGACTACCCCATCATCACAGAGTGGTTTACCTGGACAGGTGCATGATGTTACTGTAAACTGGAACATACTGCTCACCTGACCTCAAAAGCAGACTGAATTTAAGGTTTATATAGGTGCTTGACCCTATCTACCGTTCCCGTTTATCTCGTAAACTCTCTTCCTTTTGAATGTCAGCCTAAGGATAAAAAAGTAGGAAAGACAGAAACAACTGAAAGATATATGCAGAAAAAGAAATCCAAATTAGAAACACCCCAAAACAAACGGAAATGATGACAGTATAAAAAGTTATCAACATTCCAGATAGCTCTGGGTAGAAAGGGTTAAAAGTTCAAAACTTTCTCACCTTAGAGGTTTCCATATATCATGAAGAAAATACATTGTGAGGTTGCCGTCACAGCATTGATGTGCAGAGTGGTTAAAAAAGTGAGACATGGGCACTTATACAATGTCTTACAAAAAACATCATAGAGAAATAACAAACAATAACAATTTCAGGCAACAAGACCACAGGATAGCAAGTTAACAAACTTTTTAACCTTTTTTTTTTGTTTTTTGTTTTTTAAATATTAGGGATTTATACAAAACACATAATAAAATACCCATGTTATCAAATTACTTCTCACAAGAAACACACTGAAGCTCTAGGAAGGAAGTACCTTTGGAATTTGGCACTATATATTTTCACTTTTTTTCTTTAAAAGAAAAAAAAAATCACATTTTGCTGAACACAAACACATCTAAATAGTCCACAATTAAAAAAAAAATGACATCAATGCTTTACAAGCCAACACAAAACTTATTCTGGAATAGGTTTTTTTTTTCCCCCTCACATGAAATTTTTTTTTTTAAGCAAACAACTTTTTTTTTGAAATTCTTTTTTGTTTTAAGTAAACCAATTCTAAACTTGTCTTATCAACAAAGAACATTAAGACCATAAGACTCATGATGAAACCACAACTTAATTCACAGAAGCACCAACGTAACACAGTTTACAGTAACCTTTCTCCTGTACATTGAAACAGTATAAAATATAGGTAATTTCATGTGCATTAAACCATGGATTGTCTAACTGTGAGTCAGTTCAGCAAAAGGTGACACAAATAGGTAGCATTTGCCCCAAAACAGGGTAAATATTTTTCTTATACTAATCTACAAAAAGTGGTTCTATATATATATCTTAATGAGAAAGTGAGCCACCTAAAATGGCCTTATCAAAAAACTTTACACTGCCTGAAAAATGTAAAAACTATTACAGACCTCTAGAGACTTAAAATCAGACAGTTTTTTTCTCAAACTGTTTTTGGAAGTAGTCTGTTAGAAACCAACATTCTGTGTCCCTGGACACATATTGCTATTGTTACCAGTGACCGGGAAGAATGCCAATCCCTGTATAATACTTTCAAGTCTGTTTTATGAAAAGAAAAAAAAAAATAAGAAAGAAACATTTTTGCCACAGGTTTTTTCTATAATTTGTCTAATAATAAATTTCAGTCTTGCATGAATGCAGCAATGTTTTTCACATTGACTTCCCAGAATTCATAGCTAGATGAGGTCACATGCAAATTTCAAAGGTCAAACTAGATCAAAGGTCAGTAGGAGAACCAAATATGATGTGAGGTCAGAAAGACATCAGAAACAATGACGGGACGATGAAACTTTTTTGAGACGCCACAGGGACATGCTAGGCAAACGGTGAACTAACGGGCATGAAGATGTCTAGGGAGAAAACAGGGAGAGTAAAAAGTTACACAGAATCTACGCAGCAGCAACAAAATCACTCTTCAGGGTGCAGGAAAGAAACTAATGCAAATCTTAGGTTCTTAGGGAGTCTACGAGCCATCCACGTAATTTGCATTTCTTACACTCTTTGTCCACAGCACAATGGAACCCAAGAGAATCCATCCAGAGAGGGAGAAGGGATGGATTCTGGGTGTTTCGGGGTGAGGGACTGGCAAGGGACGGGGAGAAGAGGGTCCAGTTTCAACGAATGTAACAGACGGGAAAGTCAGACGACCAAACTGTAAACTAGATAATGGAGGTTACGAACAAAATCATCAGACAGATACAAACACCGAGAGGATAAAGCATGAACTTTAGGCCCAGGGTTCAACGGTGAAAAAAAGCCCGTTCCTAGAATGATTCCTCTAGAGACTACTTCAGAAGAATCTAGCTAGCACAGAGAACTGCTCTTCAGGTACCCAATAAGTTAACAGTAGGCAATAAATAGCTTCCATTATTTCTGAGGCAGTAAAAATTTTGTACAAAAATAGAAATGCTTTTTTTACAAATAAAATTTACAGGCCTGTGGCTTTCTTTTTTATTTATGTATTTATGTATTATTTATTTATTATTAAATTTATCTTTCAAGAAACATCAAGTATTTTCACTCATTTTTAATTTTTAAACCCTGTAGCTTTAAGAAACAGATCTCTAAATCTTTTTTTACATTAATCCTTTCTAAAAACTAAAATAAAACAATAACAAAATAGACAACCAGTGTAATAATCTGACCAATAAATGTCATGTTTCTTTGAACTCTAAAATAAAATCCTACTTATTAAAACAAACCAAATGTAGTGGAAAGACATTTTGTGTTGTTAATTTTAAGTGCTTCTCCTGGCTTTTCTCTGGCGCTATGCCACCACCTTACCCTCTATAAACAGCTGGCCCCCCCTGTGGGGTGGGCGTGGGCAGGAGGGGCGAATTCTCCAGGCAGTGCTCTGGGGCACAGGGGTCTCAGAGTTAGAATTGCACGTTAGCCTTTGTTTGCCTTGTAAATTCTCAAGATGTCATTTATTGTATACGTGTTTTTCTTAAAAAAAAAAAAAAAAAGGCAAAAAACCCCCAAAACAAAACAAAAAAGGTTAAAGGAGATTCAAATTGCAAAACAAAGGAGAATACAGTGGCACAAGTGGAGGAGGATTTACTTGATAGAAACAAGGTAGCCGAGTTTAGTTATGGCGAACTGGGTGGGGAGGGGGGGGAATGGAGGCCTTATTGTAAAAATAACCGTCTCTCTTGGTAAAAGTTGGCAATGTGGTCCTCCTCTGCCTTTCCTGTAGAGCCCAGGCTGGCTCGTGGGACTTACCCTAAGAAAGCTAAAATAAGAGCAGGGAGCCTCTGGGGGAGGATCAGTAAGGTTTGCTGTCGTTTTTGGAGCGCTTCAGCTGGACCTTCAAGCGTTTCATGCCAATCTGAAAGCCATTCATAGCCTGGATAGCAGCTTGCGCAGACACGGGATTGTCGTAGCTAACAAAACCTGGAAGACACGAGGGGAAGAAGGGCGGGAATCAGGATGGAGAGGCAGGGGTGCAGTGCAGGGTGGCTGGAGAAGGTTTCTGCAGGTGGGAGTGACGGGGCCCAAACTGGGGTCTCGGGTCAGCTCTACTGAGTTCGCGGTCGTGGTTTAGGGGCAGCACGGGAAACATCCACGGTGAAGCAGTGGAGGTGACTGGCTGTCATGAGAACAAAACCCCTCCGCGGAAAGCTAGAACCTCACAGAAAATTGTCGTGAGTCAGTTTAGTCTGTTGACTAATTCCAGTCAAATCTGTTTGTGTCAGAGTCCCTTAGAATCCTCCTCCAAGAGTCTCCAGTATTATCAGTGCATGCAGGGCCCTTAAAGGGCCCCAAGAGGCTCCAGGCCCCAGCCAGGTGAGGTTTAGCAGCATGATAATTAAGGGAAGGCAACTGATGTGCTGCCAGAGACCCGGACTGTTTTCATTCCAGTTCTCCATGGATACAGGATGGGGTCAGCGGATTAACTCTAGAATAATTTGTACTTGATTTCTACCAATTGGAGCTATTACTGAGAGGAACCTAGGGGCCCAGGGGAAATGTTGGGCCATTCTTTCTATCTCAACTTCCATTTTCAAAGCTCCACTGAATTCACTAGAATGGAAATTGCTACCTTGTATCCCCAAGTGTTTCTTGGAGAATAAATAGTTTAAACAGCTCAGGGCTTAACAGCCATCCTAACACATACTTCCCACAATTTTTCTCTGTACCAACACTCAGATGCCTCTGACAACCATCTAAGCTCTGCCAAGACCTAGAAACAGAATTCTGACCACATGGTTTGTATTAGCACTGGGGGTAGGGGTCACACGCCAAGGCTTCTTCAGTTAATGCTAGTGGAAAAGTGTTGCTCCTACTTACTTTTGTTGTTGGAAGGAAGTTATACTGATTGGATTTCAACTCTGACCATCCACTGTTCAGGAGGTTTTATACCAAGTTTCTCCATCTACTAAGGAGAACATTCCTTTACGAGTTAGAGGAAGAAAGGGACATAAATATACCTTTAGGAGAGTTCTTAGCTGATAATAAGAGGTGTATAGTATAAGGCAGAATAGCTTCTCATAGGCTGGCTGTATGCAAAAAGATGGTTCAAGTTTTTATTAAATTCCCAATAAATGTGATCTTGGATCTAAGACTTTTGCTGATATTCTTCTACATCTTAATCCAGAGGTAGCAAGATGATTAAAGAATGGAAGTGTGTCAAGGGTAAAATGGATAATGAAACCTGGCCAAGAGCTTAGGATAAAGAATGGGGTATGACTTATGACTGGCAGACCTGGGACCCCAAGCAGTTATGCTGTCTCACTGAGACACCTACATATAGGATGCTACAGCTTTTTAATAAGAGCTGAAAACACAGTGCCTAATGCTAAGTATAATCGTCTGCTACATTACTATGTGTTATTATACACACAGTGGTTAAGTAAGCTGTAGACTGATACTCTTTTCAAGACAGTAAATATTTTCTCAAAATCAAACTGCAAAGTACAACCCTTTCTTATCGCCAAATAAGCTCAGACACTGTTTAGTGTTGAGGACTATAAACGTCTGGCTGGAAGCCTGGGGCAGGGAAGCTTCCGGTGGTGAGCTCTTATAAAACACAGGCGCACACCCTCTGTAACAACTTACTGTCCATTTCATTCTCTCATGAGCCATTACAAGGGCGTTTATACACTTGTAATGGGTTCAGGCTAACAGCCTTTCCACTTGGATAAAAACAGTGACTTTTAATGGCTGACACACCGATTCCCCTTAACAACAGGGGCTTCAGACCTTCCTGGGTGACGGCACAGAAATTAGAAGGATGTTATGATAATGGAATTTTAGAAGCCAAGGCACTCTCTTTAGACGGGCTGCACCATTACCCATCAGCCAAATACCAAGTCAGGTTCTGCCTCTTTGAGAACCACCCCCACTTGCTTTTCTTTATACCATAGACTTCTTTTCATTTTCCTCTGGCCTGTATCTGTTCTACTTAATCTTGTTTTGTGCTGCTGTTAGTACCTGCGGCCAATGTGACTCATTAAATTGAATGAGTGAGTAAAGCAACTGTTACACCTTAGACTGGGCCAGGACTTGCCACGTGAGGCACTTATACCCTAGACATTTGAGCCTCTAAACTACTGTGGGAAACACAAGGATTCAAAACATAAAACGAGAACTAGATTTAATAAATGCTCACCTCCTTTGTAAAACATTAGGGCATGCAGGGAGCTAGCCCTTCTCTCTCTGGGAGCAAAAGTCACCCCGGGGAGGCAGAGTCCAGGCTGCATGAAGGAGGCTGTGAAAGCTCAGGCCACCACGGATCGGGGCTGTCCAGTGTCCTGAGAAGACCAGTGTCTCTGGGGCGCTCTGCCTGCCCAGGCGGCCACTGCAGATCCCATCCGCTGCCAGACCGCAGCCTCTCACGTCACCATGAGCTAAAGCCGCCACCGTCCCTGTGCCCGTGAGCTGTGGCGGTGGGAGTGGCGTGAGCACGTCTCTGCCATGAAGGCACATGCACTCAAGTGTGTGCATGTTTATGTACCCCCAGATGCTGGACCATAAGCACCCCCCCAGTGTGCTGCCCACACCCACAGCACCTGAGTCACAGTGAAGGGGGCGGGATTCGTGCCAAGCGTCTAGTGCCCCTCTGGGTCACGACACCTTCGACCACACCACAGTCTCTCAAGCGTATTTCCGTCTGGGAAAGCTCGTCGTTTAGACTGTGGGGCCCAGAGACCGATGCTGCTCTACAGTGAGGACATTAGTTCCCAGTAGTGAGATCCCTGCACAGTGCAATATAAAGCATCACCTGCTCTGTGGGCATTGTTTCCCAGATCGTTCCTTTTTATATAGCCCCTTTTCCTCTTCCAGTTGAGATGACTTTGCCTAGTCTGCTCACTGGATCTAGAGGGCCAGGAACCACCATACACACTGGAGGCCCTGTCCTGGCGTCTGGAATACTGGCCATCATACTTTCCCTCCCAGGACTCCTTACTGGGAATGCCCTGTAATGTTCTAACTGGGTTTCTTTTGCATACCAAAGCACTTGCTCAGATTGGTCTGTTTGTCAATGAAGACTTTAGCAGAGATAACATTTCCAAAAGGCATGAACATCTGCAGGATGTCCTGGTCTCCAAACTCCTGTGGAAGGTGGTAAATAAAGAGGTTTGCACCCTCTGGACCTAAAGAGGGGGAAGAAAAAAAAAAAAATCAGAGTAAGGCATTCTTCACTTCTTAAGTTTCCAAAGCTGCTGCTTAGGAATGTTTTAAGACAGATAGGCTGAGCACGTGGCTTCCTCTCCTGCTGAGTGAGATTGGAGACAGACAGATGTTCTGTGCTGGTGTGTCCTTTAGGACAGGAGTCATCCTTCATACCTTTCTGATTTCCAGAGAGACACCAGTGAAGAATGGAGTCCTTTTCATCTATAATCTGTGGGTTACATTTGCTTACTGCACGTGAGTGCATACTTTCAGTCTTCCTGGGTGTGAAGGTAGCAGTCATGGGGTGGAGTGGAGGGCAGAATTCAGGTGTGGGTTTTTCCTGAGTGGCTGTATTTTGTAGCACATAGTATATACTGTCTCTTGGAGAGAGTATCCTGTGTATTCTACGCAAATTGCAGCAATTTAGACATAATGGATATAGCAGTAATGCTGCTTGGATTTCTCAATCATTTACCTAATTATCCATCCAGTTTTGATCTGGCAAATCGCTTAACACACAGCCTAATAATCATCTTTATTAGAAGTGAGTGGCAGTGAGTCAAGGCAGGGAAAAATAGGTAGCCAGAGTCGCACCACTGTGGTCGGAAGGATGTCCCTGGGAGTTAGCCTTGCACACTGAGTGTGCGAGGGACAGGAGCTGCTCAGACACTAAGTGAGCTTCACTCTTAACCGTCACCTCCAGAAACATGAGCAGGAAGGGCAGAATGGGAGAGCTCAGCTGCACCAGCGAGGAAGGCTCTCAAATGAACTTTATTTCCACTCCATTCACCCCTCTCTCTAACTCCCCGCATAAGAAGTATCTGCAGCTTAGAGAAAGCAAAAAGGAGGGACTCCCAGTGACCTGATGGCAGAGAGTCACCTTCTCATACGTAACAGGTAAGCATACTTTCCAGGTCAGAGGGTGTTCGGGGGCATCTGCAGAGGTTCTGGGGAGGCCCCGCGGCTGGACGCCTCTGGGATGTTCTTGGCACGGTGTCTGGGAGGAGGGGAGCTCATCCAGCTGGTGAAGTGGCCAAGCCACTGGTTCCTGGGACCTGAACTGACCTTCACGGGAGAAGAGCCAGGACTTCCTGTGTCCCTGGGAAGCCCCAGGGGACATGGTGCAGTGGGTCCCCAGGGGCTGTGGGGAGCATGTCTATCTGAATGGGTCGAAGAAAAACAAAACTGGGGTAGAAATAACTTTGTAAAAATATAAAGGATAAACATCTTTGCAAAGAAAACTCAAAACAAGTTTCTTTCCACACACATTAATGAATGGAACTTTTCACAAGGAGATGTTCTTGGAGCAAATTTCTGAAGCCACAGAGATGAAGCATTTCCTTGTTACTTAAGTGTTAATGAGGCTACTTTAATTTTCTGTGTTGCTCACAATTTCCAAGGACATAGCCAGTGTAAGAGATGCAGTTTGTATCTAAAGGGACACAATTACAGGGTTTATGTCCCCAGATGTTTCCTGGGTAAAAACAAAAAACAAAAACAAACAAAAAAAAACCTCCTAAAAGAAGTCAACACTTAACATAAATAGATGCAAAACCAGAGAACCCGGGAGACGGATGTTCTCAGAGCCGCCATGCAGTGTGTGGAGCAGGAGACCTGGTACTGCCCAAACTGGTCGTGCTTCTAAATAAAAACTCCAGATGCACAATGAGAACTAATGGGGCTCAATTTGAATTGTGAAGTAATCTCCCCTCCTCAAGCCCAGGGAGAAAATGCAGTTTTAATGCACTATGACAGATTACTGGCTATACACGGGCAGCCCTGGCCTTCTCGGATGCAGTGCCTTCTGAATGTGTCTGGGCCAGACGGGACCAAGAACATGGGAAGAAAGTAAATACACCCAGGGAGGCGCTGTCTTCTCCCTTATCACCAAGAAATACTTGGATTTTGCCCAAGTCGTTAACACAAAAATGAGAAAAAGGTGACTTGGTATGGAAAATCTCTTAACATTCAGTGAAGGCAGCTACTGCCAGATGCCAAGGGCAAAGAAACAGTTTTTAGAGGGTCACCCTCTGTATCTTCCTTCCATCTCTCTCCAGTAAGAAACCTGCTGACCAACCATGCACTTCGTGGGCTTCCGCTACACCTGACTGACTTGCCAGAGCTCATCGAGTTGTGTCATTGGTCCAACTGGCTGGCACCGAGTTCTTATTTCTCACAGGGCCCCAGGGCCCCTGATGCAGCAGGAAGCACCGTGGGTGCCAGTGTCTTGTTGGGATCTGGGGGCTCTACCTACTGTGTGTGTGTGTGTGTGTGTGTGTGTGATGCGCCTCCTGCAAACTCAGGGAAACGGGAAGGTGCAAAAGATATCAGAGACTTATTTAGGAATGGCAGGAAAGATGATCAGGTTGCCTGAATTCAGATCTGTAGGGATGCCTAATGCTTCAAAGTCTTAGCTGGGAGAAATATTAAAACCATTTCTTTACAAGGCCAGACTGATTCACTTTCCTATGGGAAAATATATACCAAGGTACATGACTAAATACATCAGATTGACTGTGCTTCTTGATTAGAGAACTATGGAATAGGAAATCTAAAAAACTGTTTAGCAGTGGAATTCATTGAGGTACTTTTCTTTCCTTCTCAGTATTATTTTAAATTATGCTTTAGTTACGCTAATGTCGTGCTGGGCTTTGTCGCTCAGTTGTGTCTGACTCTGCGACCCCATGGGCTACAGCCCACCAGGCCCCTCTGTCCGTGGGGCATCTCCAGGCAAGAATACTGGAGTTTGTAGCCATGCCCTCCTTCTCAGGATCTTCCCAAGCGAGGGATTGAATCCAGGTCTCCCTCATTGCAGGTGGATTCTTTACTGTCTGAGCCACCAGGAAAAGATGGTTTAAATTTGCTGAGTACATGTTAACAGGGTGAGAAGATGACGATCAGAAGAGACATACAAAAAGATGGGAGATTAAAAAAAGACCTGACCTGAACAATCCTGAAACACCAACAAAGACTGAGCACTAACCCACGCTACTGGTAGCCTGCGCGTCTAAATATACATAATCCGGAGAGGCAGCATGTATTCTGAATTATTTTACATTAATCCCAGAGGGTTAATTATTGCACAAGCAGTGCCTGAAACTCAAGGCACAGAAATTTAGGGCTCTGAGCTGGGATGAAGCAACTTCAGGGCCCAGACTCTCCTAAGCCACTAACTTTCTAGTCTGCTGGTGCCTAATGTGATCCAGGTTACATGGTTTGCCTCAAGGCGATCCCTGCTGGGTAATGAGGGAGTGACCAGCACTCTCATGCATGCGGGGAAACTGGCTTTCCTGGTCTCTTCCGTGGACGTGATTATCTCACAAGATATTTCCTACCACCCTCATCTGTTACTATGGAAGTCAGACCTCAGAAACAGGGACTGCCCACAGGCTCTCCTTGGGGAAGCTGAGGCATTTATGGCACGGGGTCTCCGCACATTTGGGAAACGCAGCTGTCTGGACAGTCGTGCGAGCCTTAACATAAGCTACAATAACATCATAACTGAGAGGAAAGAGATTTGAGAGAGAAAAACTCAGATATTCAAGTTCCTTCCACTTTGGATGCTGTTACAGATAAACAGAAAAAAAACCTTAAAAAAACAAAACAAAATGACACGATCTTTAAAGTTGTGTCCCTGTTACAGTTCCCAACTTGACAAAGTAAAACCATTCTACTGCTTATTGGATACCATGTTTAAAGTCCAAGTCTTCAGACAAAAACCAGTTTGGAACTATGGGGCAAGGATCAGAATGAAAAGGAATTTAAAAAATGTCTTCAGCACTTTCTTATCCTTGCATCTTGTATACGAAACAAGTCAGAAAGAGAATAAATATCTCAGTGCAGATTTTGCTTTAAAAGCAACTTCAGTCAGGAAGAAGGAACCAAAAGGAGGAAAGAGAGAGAGAGAAGCCCTCCCTATTCGGGCCAGTTCATTAACTGCTTTATAATTAGCCTTCATGTATTCTTAGCATTCACTTCCTGATGTTTATTTTGCCTTATTGGCAGAGAAGCAAGGCAATCAATCACTTATTTGCTTCCCCAGAAGACCCTGACTAAACAAAGACCGGGTCGATCCTAAGAGTGGATTTTGTCATTAACCTGGACACCATCGCCAACTGCAAGGCCAGCGTCCCCATCACGGGGGACGTGGACCCTGCCAAAGCTGGGTGAGCCCACAGGATGCTGCACTGATGACTTGGCCTTCTAACGAGGAGTCTACGTGGAGGGGGAGAAAGGAGATGGCCCTTCTGATTCGGGAGAGAGGTCCATCTGACCAGGGAGCGGGACAGTCAACGAAAAGACAGCTAGCAGGTTGCAACAGAGTGTTCAGGCCTGTCGGAAGTCTTAAACCGCGAGCAGGAGGCATGGGACAGCCGCTCTTCTTCTCAGGACAGCGGCTCACCGCCACTCCTCGGGGCTCTGCTCCGGGCTGGACGCTGCCCGCGGGCCGGGTCGGGCACCCACCTTCCTTCTGGCTGCCGGCGGCGCTCTGCTGCTGCAGCAGGCTCTGGCTGTAGAGCGTGGGCAGCGCCGCGGCCGCGTACTGCTGGATCCCTGAGTAGGCCTGGGTGAGGGCGTCCATGGTGCCCGCCGTGCCATTCGTCAAGCCCGTGGCGCCAAGTCCTCCGTTCAGAGCCGCCATACCTGAGAGCATTTGAGCAACTTTACAAAAAACCCAACAATAGAGAAGAGAAACAGCACTTTTCATTAGTGCTTTCCAAAGGAAGTCAGAGAATCATTTGACACAAGTACGACAGCAAGTGCATGCAGCGGGCACACCAGCTACACCGACGTGAACTCAGAGACAAAGCCACGAAGGAACAAGGCGTCAGCAATGGCAGACACACAGACAACCACCACGACCCCGAGCGATGCTGAGCCTCACTCCCTGGGCCAGGGAGCGAACTCTCCGAGGCACTGCAGGTGGGCAATACATCCGAACTCCATGCAGGGTGCTACTGGCAAGACTGGGGCTCTCCTTTTGGAATAAGAACCTTCTGCTTCTTACAGCTTGGAAGCACATAAGAAAAAAACATTAGTGGCAGAGGCCTGTGGCATCTGTACCCTTACCTCTAATTACGGGGTTCTTGAGGAGCCATGGGATGACCCAGGGGTTGAGAAAGGAAAGGACAGGCTGAACCTTCTCACCCCAAGCTGCCTGACGTGGTAATGGCTGGGAGGATGAGTGGTGTACTCAGTGAATTGCCAGTTCCATTGACTGGCTTCCTGAGCAGCTGAAGGATGCTGTTGGGGATGAGGACCTTAGGGAGAATCGTGCTGATGAAGAATTAAGGTGCAGGAAAAAATGCAGTTTCCTTCCCTTATTGAGGAGGACTGAAGCTGCTTATTCAGTGTGAAAGGCTAGAAAGGGGATGGGACCATTCTCAGAAGCAAATAGACACACACACACGTCCAAATACTAATTAGTGCCCGTGGAACTGGGATTTCCAGCAAGGAGAGCATTCCACGCCATGTTTTCCACTTAACCGAAGTGACCCTGTGTCTGGAGCCGATCTTGGCTATTAACCCATGTGAACTGGGTGACGGCCAGGACACTTTTAATTTTTTTCCATGTCTCCTGGCTGATCTTTTGCTCTGTTATGGTTCCTGTGTCACTTTTTCCTGAATACTGAGTTAAAACAAGTATACTTTAATAGAGTGTGAACTTTTCAATGAATTCAGGACATGGAAGAGGTGACATCATAATTGCTTTGAGTTCCCTTTACGATGAAGACATTTTTTTTTTTTTTTTTTGGTAAAGATCTGTTTCTGCAAAGAACTCAGTGAAAACATTAATGAAAATCGAAGGAATTAGGGCTACTGATTAAGGATGTTAAAATAGCAAAGATGATTAACTGCGAAAAAATGGTAATAAGCAGTGTAGTGAAAATAGAGGACAAGAAAATAAGATGCTTCGATGTCACACAGAGGAGTCAAGTGTCAGTGACCTAACACCCCCATGCAGAGCTCTGCTTGCCATCCACAGGACACCGGGGAGGGGGGGGGGACGGACGACGTACTTACACCTCCATGCTCTGCTCTTCTGACACCATCACCTCTTAGGTCAGAGGGTCACACACACGGCAGGGATGAGAGCATGCTTAACAGGAGAGGAATCTCAGGGCGCCTCAGGGCTGGCATTCTCCCTGGGGGGCTTGCGGGGACAGTGCTGCCCCTGGGTGATGTGTGGGGTGAGGGTGGCCTGTCCAGGAAAGCCTAGAGGTCATGAGCATGGAAAGCCAGCTTCCTGAAAAAGGGAGTGATTTCAAGCCGATCTATCCGACCCCAGCTGAGCTCAGGAGGCGCTGGCCGGCAGAGGCTGGCCGACCCTGCTTCAGGCTCCCCTCCACGAAGGAGCCTATTCTGGTTGGTTCTGATGCGTGTGCCGGTGCCCAGGTGGGGTGGGCAACTGGTCACCCGGAAGAATTCAAAGACCACCAGAGAAGGATTTCAGCTTCTCAGAGTTATTCCTACTGATGGTTTAGTATTATTCTATATGAAATAATCACTACATGACATTGACACTTGTCAGTTCAGCTGCTGGTGTTTGCTTCCACCTACGCACTTTGGACAACAGAAATAGAGGTTTGAAGGTTAACTGCATAAAATGCTTCCCCTTAAAAGAACAGGGCTTCCTTCGAAAAAGCCAAATGGATTGATCATTTCATCCCGATTTAATTGAGATGCCCACAGGTGCTATTTGTGTGAGGAAGGCTGGACAAAAGGACAGGTGTGGCAAACCTCAATGAGGGCAGAAAGGCCTCTGCAAATGGTCTAGCGATAAAGTTAGTGCACTTAGTTCAGCTGTTAGTATATGACACCTGCCTCACATAATCCAGGATGGAAAGCTCTTGTCAGTGAACTGCCCACGTTCCTTCCTTCTCATCTTGCCATTTTGCTTTTAGCTTTAGAGTAGTGTCCTTCTTTTTAGTCCCTCCATCCATGCATGAACTTACAAAGGAAGAACAAGGATATGGAGCTCAAATAGTATAGCTACTTGTTTACTAACTAAAACTTGTTTTGTGGGGAGATGAGGAACCCTGTGTTGGGGGAAGAGGTAAAGTTTGGTAATTAACTGGGTCCATCTACCACCACCTTTCTCCCTGGCTCCTCTGTCCATGGAGAAGAGTTGGTTCTGCTCAGAACCCGAGAAACCTGTCCTTATGATGGCAGGTAATGGTTCCTGGGTGGAGTGGGGGAGCAAATGGCAACGACACAGAAACTGGTCTAGTGGCCTCTGCCCAGGTTCCCGTTTCTTGACTTCCTTTTCTGAGGACTGTCCAGTGGGACAGGTGGCATCACTATGTCTGTTAAGGAAGAACGGTCTGAAGGAGGACCCTGCCTCTACATTAGGTTTTCTCTTGCTGTCTGAGAAGCAAGTAGAAGCTCTGAGACAGTGCTGGGGTTGTAAAACAGCTCTGAGGGTGATTCACCCCAGCAGGCAGAACTCTGGGTTTAATTAAACGTTCTCCTAGTTCATACTGTTTAGCAGGGGTTATTTGAGACTAGAAACGGTCTTAATTTCCCATGAACTATACTTATAGTTATCCAGTGGCAAAGTATTTAAAAAACACAACAATAAGGCCGTTGTTCTTGCCAGAAGCAAAACTGAATAACACAGACCCCACACAAGAACTAATCATGGTCTCTCTGCCATTCAACAGAGTCCCTGTCTAGCTGCTCACGATAACAATGGGAAAACCCCAGCAAAGGACAGCAGGACAGGCTGAAGAGGCAGGAACACACGGACAGGACGACAGACAGCAGTCATGAGCACGTGCTGAGGAGGACAGCCACTCCCACTGGCCTGGTACTGTGCAGACCAAGGACAGGCAGGCGGTCAAATCAAATTCCTTGTTTTAGGGGAACTAGGTCCTGGGGCATAGAAGCAGCATGGAGGGGTGTGTGCAAACACTCGTCTGCAACCGAGGGGAAGGACAAGTGAGTTGGAGCGTCTGCAGAACAAGGTCAGAAACAGGAGTCAAGGCTGTGAGGGCTGCTGGCAAGAGGGGCGCTGGAGGCAGCTTTACTGGAATACAGTACTCTGCTGTCCTGTGGTTACCATTTCATTTACTGTTTGCTCACTAATCAAGAGCCATCCAGTCTGGAAAGAAAGAAAATCTTTTTTCCTTTCTGCTTTCTTTGGCCTCTGGTCAGATAACCCTCAGTCCAAGTTCATCTTTGTTTTCCCCAGGTCATCTGCATAAAAGGATTCCATAAAGCCTGAAAGAATTCCCTACCTCTAAATGTGTGACTTATATCTGGGTGATAACAGCTAGTCTTCATTTGGGTGAGTTCTAGGTTCTTCTTTACAAAATAAATTACAAGGTATTCTTTTGGGATTTTTGTTTTTCTCTTTTAAATAAACTGCACTTCTTGATCACCCTTTAGAAACTGTTCACTGAGTGAATCGTGGCTAAAAATAGGGCAACTTGCCAAAACTCTTTTCTTAATACTTTAAAATGGGCAGAGGTTGGGTGGCCTGCTAGGTAATTAGGTCCCCAGGTCAGATATCCCTAGGCTGTTGTGTGGCTGTTGTCAGGAAAGGTAGACCCCGGGTCCCCTCGGTGGCCTGAGGACCATTCCCTCTAGTGGAGGAGCCGAGGCTGAGCTCAGGTGTCAGCTGTGACTCATCCTCTGGCCGGGAGTCCTCTCCCCACAAATCTAAAGCACCGGAAGTGGGCAGGCTGCGTAGACAGAACTTGAGTTCTTCGGTCAGTCTGTGTATTTCAGAGCTGAGGAATTCTGTAAACGATTTGCCTCACTCTGCTTCAACCTGCCGTAGGGGAATAGGGCCCTCCAGGAGACTCACTGCTGTAGGGTGACCCTGGCCTCCGGAGGCTTAAGAAAGACCCCAGATGTTCGCTCCAGGGGCAACTCCTCTCCACTCAGCCTTATTTCCTGCTTCCCAGGGCCTCTTCTCTCCTCCTGTATGACTGTAATAAACCTCTGGATTTCAGACCTGGAGGGGACCTTTAAGGCCACCTGATCCAGGACGTCCCATTTTCAGATGGGACCCTGAAGTCCAGAATGGGGGCAGTGACTGGCTCAGATTCCTGCAGACTGGAGCTGGCCCCGTGGTTCTGACCTCCAACTCATCGATTTCTCTTTTGTAACTTATTCACAGCCTCTTAGAAGGGCACCAAACCAGAACCCAGTCAGAGTCCTAGGAACCTGCGGATACCTGTCAACCACAGACACCTGTGACCAAGTACAAAACCTACACCCCTGAAGACTCAGGATGGTGAGGGGGCTGTCTGTGGAGACTCAGAGTGGACACAGGCGGCACACGCCTGTCTAAGCATGTGCTCCTGCCCCTCCTCCCAAGTGTTAGTTCTCCCTGTGATGCAGCCTTTGCAGGTTGTCTCTGGCTGAGCACTATCTGTGGAGAATTTGGGGGAAGGCTGTCCACCAGAGCAGCAAATACTCACTGTTGATGGTACCTGCGAGTGCATTAATGTTGTTCAGTCCGACAGTGGCTCCTGCCAGTCCTTGCAGAGTCCCGAGAGAGGTCAGAGAATTCATGGCTGCACCAGCAGTGGAGTTGGGGGTTGAAGCAGCCACTGCAAGACAAAAGGCAGACGAGGGAAGGGGCGAGAAAGACACCGTGAGTGAGAGCCCGCTGGCCCAGGAGGCTGTGTGTCCTGTCCTTGCGGACAGAGCTGGGGGGCCTTCAGTCACGGGGCGACCGGGAGCCTCGCTTAGGCTTTAGTGTGAGAGACGTGGGTTGGGCTTGTAGCAACTGTGGCAGTGACATTTAGGGGAAAAAATCATCGTGGCTCTGCTGTGCCAGCTAGCTGGCTGGGGGGGGGCAAGCCACGAGAGGAGGGGCCTTCCTCCCGAGTGGTGGGTCCTTCATCAGCCCCACTTTAGGAACCTCTGAACAAATGACCAGCACAAGCTGGGGCGGGGGGGAGTGAAATGGCAATTCTTGGCTTCCTTATTCTTTATGCTTTGGACACGGCATTTTCTCAGTGAAGTTAAAAAAAAAGTCATACATATTCCTGGGTTTGACAGAAGACTTCAAGACCCAAGTAGTGGTGCTTATAGAAGGGGAGATAAAACAATCCCCCACCTTTAACTAACAGCTTCATTGGGATATAATTCATGTTATAAAATTTACTCCTTGAAAGTATGCAATTCCCTGATCAGTACATTCACAGAGTTGTACAACCGGCACCATAGTCTAATTTTGGAACATTTTTATTATCCTCTAAAGAAACCCGTACTCATTAGCGCTCATTCTACATCCTCTCCCCTCTCCTTGGACACTGGCAACCACTGATGTACTTTCTGTCTCTGTGGACTTGCTTAGTCTGGATATTTCATATAAACGGAATCATAAAAGATGTCATCTTTTGTGACTGGCTTCTTTCACTGAGCAAAATGTTTTCAAGGTTCATCCATGCTGCGGCACGTGTCAGTGCTCTATCCCTTCTTATTACTGAATAATAGCCTGTTGTATGGAAACAGTCCACTTTGTCTGTCCATTCATCAGCTGTGGACATGCTGATTGTTTCCACTCTGGGGCTGTTATGAGTAATGCTGCTGTGAACATCTGTACTCAAGTTTCTGGGCAGACATATGTCTTCGGTTCTCTTGAATACGTAGTTAGGAGTGGGACTGCTGGTCATATGATAAAGCTCTGTCTTCTATTTTGAGGAAATGCTAAAATATTCCCCAAAGTGGCTGTCCTCCCTATTCATTTTTTAATAATTTTCATTAGTTATGAGTGTTTCCCTGGGAAAAAGTCCTCAGATGTCCTCATACTGAAGACCATTTTGGAAGCTCTTCTCTGGTGTCACCTGAAATCATGTGAAAGCTCTTTAGGCCTTTACCTTTTCATTTTTTTCCCCCCAGGCCTTTATTACTGGCTGAGAATCAGAACATGCCCCAGGGATACTTTTTCTCCCATACTTGCTGGCACATTAGTGTGTAAGAGCTGTCACATGTAGGCTGATGTCAGACTAAAATGCATTTCTCCATGGGAAACGCAGGGGGCTTCTGTTTCTAGTGGTTAGGTGGGTCCACCTGAGGAAAAGTGCATAAGAAGAGACTCCCCCAGCAGGGAGTCTGGAACCCTCGAAGGCTAAACAAGCAGTGTAAGGATGAACAAGATACACTTCCTGCTTCATAAACTATAAGGACAACTGCTTGTATCAAAACAGTGCTGAGCAGGGGGAGGGGATTCCCTCTGATAGTATATAGCCCTCACATAAGTCTGCAAAACAACTTTCTTTTACCTGAGTGGTCAAAACCCATCTAACCATCAATGTAAAGTGGCCCCCAGCTCGTATTCTCTTCTCGCACCTTGTAGAATCAACTGTAAGTCAGCCCTGAAAGGGCCCATTTTCAGCAAAGAACTCTCAGAAATAAGGCTCCAAAGACAGTTAAGCTCACAATAAAAAACAAAAACACAAAAAGACAAAATATACAAGAAAACCAAGTACCAAGAGTAAGAATCAGCAGAGACAGAGTTGGACACTATATTTAGATCCACCAAAACTTCAGATACTGGAATTATTAGTGCGCAAGAGGAAGGAAGTGTACTTCACATGTCTGCACAATATGAGAGGGTGAAAAATGAAAAAAAAAAGATTATAAGAAATAACAGGTGCTGAAAAATGAGCTACAGCTGTAAATTACATACTATCACCATTTCATTGCCCTCTTTAAAAAAACCAGAAAACTGGAAGCAAGTGGGGCTGCAGTTAAGAGTGAGAGCTTTACAGCAGTTATTTATAACACTGAAGATACTGGAGCAACCTAATCTGTCCGTCAGCAGATGAATGGATAAAGAGGATGTGTGTGTGTGTGTGTGTGTGTGTGTGTGTGTGTGTACATGCATACACACACACATAAAATGGAATACTATTCAGCCATAAAAGAATGAAATATTACCATCTGTGGCAACATGAATGGACCTACAGACTGTCATATTAAGTGAACTAAGTCAGATAGAGGAAGGCAAATACGTATCACCTATATGTGGAATCTAAAAAAAAAAACCCACAAATTTATTTATAAAAAAAAATAGAGTCACAGACATAGAAAACAAATTTAGGTTACCAGAGGGGGAAAGTAGTGCAGGGGTAAATGAGGATTTGGGGGTTCACACACACACACTGCCGTATGTAAAACAGATCATCAGTAAGGACCTCTGTAGAGCAGAGGGAAGTACTCAGTACTCTGTAACGACCTACATGCGAAGAGAATCTGAAAAAGAATGGACGTATGTATAACTGAATCACTTTACTATATACCTGAAACTAACACGACACTGTAAGTCAGCTACACGCCAGTATAAAACAAAAATTAAAAAAAAATGCAAGTCAGAGGTCTCTATTTTGCTTTTCTATTTATTTAAGACCCCTGAAGACTGGCTGTAGTGTACTGTAGTCTTCTGACCTCTTGTTGTGCTGTTGTTGGGTAATTAGACAGATGGGAAGAGGGTGAAAAACAGTGGGGAGAGGAATCAGACATGAGATGAACTGAACTAAACAACGTGCCTTAACATGAGACGACTCTGTGTGCTCCAGTGCTCTGGACAATGCTCTGAAAATTTACCCCAGTTTAAGTAAATTGGAAAAGATATCTCAGTTATGTATCTGGCTGCCTTTAAGAACCTTCTGGGTTCTAGAAAATAATCTCTTTAAAGCAAAAGGAAGACTTAAATTTGTCACACAACCAGTCTCAATCAAGTACTTCAAATATTCAGGAGAAACACAGCAGAGAAGCCCGTCAACACAAAAGACAGAGATGTATTAAATGCCATCAACATGCCTGTTTTCCTTACTTCTGTGCTGGCAGCCAGGCAGGAGGCTGCCTGCGTTCTGCCCACCTAAAATTAAAATTCCCTCTGTCTCCACTAAGAACCGTGTCCTCTGCTTTCTCAACTAAACTGTTTACAAGATGGCACAGGAACGTTTCAAGAGAAGGTGGTAAATAAACATTGGTTCATCTTTGCCCACGGCATGTCTTTTAGTCAAAGGGTGCTCCATGCAGGGGAGAGGAACGTGGGGCGTGGGGGGGAAGTGGGGGCAGAGCCGCCTCTCCTTCTAGGCAGTGATGGAGAGACCTGGTCACACGTCATGTTTCACGGCTGCAGTACCGCCGGCTCTAGACCACCAAGCAGGCCACCAAAGAGGTGGTGAGCAGCTGGCCAGCGAGGAGCTGAAACAGCCATGCAACCCACCAGTGGTGTATGTGACCCCACACGGCAGCTCGGTTCCCGGCCTTCTGATGACGAACGGAGGGGTGAGGGTGCTGGAGAGGGAGGGGGACCGGGACCAAACCAGCTGCTGCCCGGTCGCCAGGACAGGAGCAGAAACACAGAGGAAGTGCGGCTTCCTTCTTATTCTCTGCATGAGGTGGGGTGACAGGCAGTCTGGGGGGAGGCCGATGGCTGAATGGAGGGAATGAGGCTCTCCCCCTTTCACAGATTCCAGATCCAGCCAGAAAAGTAGAAAAGTGGCCGTCTGGGGCACCAGCCTCTGACTCTGACCACGTCTTGCACCATCCTTCCTACATGAAGGGGAACCTTCTCTCCTCTGTTTTATGGGCGCCCTGGCAAGTCCTGTCTCCAGTACTGGGTCCCAGAGTACTGCTTCCCAGGAACCCAGTGCCTCCATCTCCACCTGTGAAACCCTCTCCCCACTTTTCCTAGACTGCAAGATTTTAACTTTTAATTTTGTATTGGGGTACAGCCGATTAGCAAACAATGCTGTGAACAGAGAAGGGACTCAAGTGTACACATTCATGTATCCATTCCCCCCACAGACCCCTGCCCATCCAGGCTGCCACCTAACACTGGGCAGACTTTCACAGTGGACCACAAGGGTTTCGGAAAGCTACAGTGAAACGACATCAACAGAAGACGCCAAGAGTCTGCCTCCAGAGTACCTGCAGGACACAGAGCACAGGAGCTTTGGGGTCTAGGAGGCACAACAGCGGCACACACTAGGGAACACTGCCCGCCCTGACCAGGCGTGCCCAGGCCGGCGGAGCCTGCCGTCACCGCTCTGCATCACACGCGCGCCGATGCTCCGAAGCGGGCAGAGTGGTGACGAGCCGACATGGGCGCCTCTGTCTTTAGCGCGTCCCAACCCGAGGGCGAGCACAGCGCCGCCTCTCCCGTGGGGTCTAGTTACTCCACACTAACCACACCTCTTATTTCCACTTCTTCCCGAAAAGGATTTTTCAGGGGGAGGGGTGGGGAGAGGAGAGAGGACAGGGTGGGAGGAGGCTGTTCGGGTTAGAAAAGGACATTGAGAGTTTCTGCAGTGTTCTGATCTCAGCGCCCAGTCATCTGTAATGTGCATGTCCTCTACCCCCCACACACTCACATCACCTTTTTCCTTCGCTAACCCGCTTCCAGCTCACAAGGTGCTGTCAGCAACCTGGCTTGTGCCATGCTGGGACAGACAGGTTCTGCAGATGGGCCAGAGGAAGCCTCCGAGCCTGAAGGGCTGACTAGAGGAAGCGGCCCCTTGCAGGGACTCTGAGCCCCTTTTGAGGTGTTACTCTACGACAAGGGATGTCTCCAAAGATGAGAGAGTGGTAT